AACTTGGCTTATTAGGCAAATCGGGCCTTGAATAGTAGGCCAAAAAGTGAGTTCTGGCTACTAGGTACGACATATATATATATATATATATATATATATATATATATATATATATATATATATATATGTCGTACCTAGTAGCCAGAACGCACTTCTATGCCTACTATGCAAGGCCCAATTTGCCTAATAAGCTAAGTTTTCATGAATTAGTTGTTTTTCGACTACCTAACCTACCTAACCTAACCTAACCTAACTTTTTCGGCTACCTAACCTAACCTAACCTATAAAGATAGGTTAGGTTAGGTTAGGTAGGGTTGGTTAGGTTCGGTCATATATCTACGTTAATTTTAACTCAAATAAAAAAAATTGACCTCATACGTAATGAAATGGGTAGCTTTATCATTTGATAAGAAAAATATTAGAGAAAATATATTAATTCAGGAAAACTTGGCTTATTAGGCAAATCGGGCCTTGAATAGTAGGCTGAGAAGTGCGTTCTGGCTACTAGGTACGACATATATATATATATATATATATATGTCGTACCTAGTAGTCAGAACGCACTTCTCGGCCTACTATGCAAGGCCCGATTTGCCTAATAAGCCAAGTTTTCCTGAACTAATACTTTTTCTCTAATTTTTTTCTTATGAAATGATAAAGCTACCCATTTCATTATGTATGAGGTCATTTTTTTTTATTGGAGTTAAAATTAACGTAGATATATGACCGAACCTAACCAAACCTACCTAACCTAACCTTACCTATCTCTATAGGTTAGGTTAGGTTAGGTAGCCGAAAAAGTTAGGTTAGGTTAGGTTAGGTAGGTTAGGTAGTCGAAAAACAAATAATTCATGAAAACTTGGCTTATTAGGCAAATTAGGCATTGAATAGTAGGCTGAGAAGTGCGTTCTGGCTACTAGGAACGACATATATATATATATATATATATATATATATATATATATATATATATATATATATATATATATATATATATATATATATATATATATATATACATATATATATATATAAAACGTTCTTCCTCCGGAACGTTTTCGAACGGGAACGTTTACGAACGGGAACGCTTACGAACGGGAACGTTTACGAACGAGAACGTTTACGAACGAGAACGTTTACGAACGGGAACGTTTACGAACGGGAACGTTTACGAACGAGAACGTTTACGAACGAGAACGTTTACGAACGGGAACGTTTACGAACGGGAACGTTTACGAACGAGAACGTTTACGAACGGGAACGTTTACGAACGGGAACGTTTACGAACGGGAACGTTTACGAACGAGAACGTTTACGAACGGGATCGTTTAAGAACGGGAACGTTTACGAACGGGAACGTTTAAGAACGGGAACGTTTACGAACGGGAACGTTTACGAACGGGAACGTTTACGAACGGGAACGTTTAAGAACGGGAACGTTTAAGAACGGGAACGTTTACGAACGAGAACGTTTACGAACGGGAACGTTTACGAACGGGAACGTTTACGAACGGGAACGTTTAAGAACGGGAACGTTTACGAACGGGAACGTTTAAGAACGGGAACGTTTACGAACGGGAACGTTTACGAACGGGAACGTTTACGAACGGGAACGTTTACGAACGGGAACGTTTACGAACGAGAACGTGGCGACTTGAAACAGTGAGAACCGGAGAACCCACAAGGTTCCACTCGGGTTGTGGAAGGCCATCGTGAACCACCCCGGAAACTGTACTTTTCACACCCATAGGCATTACTTCCTCATGTTCCCCCTGACTCGTCTGCACATATGTGGAAAGATATGTACGCGCGTGTCTCTAAATGTGTGTACTCACCTAGTTGTACTCACCTAGTTGTGCTTGCGGGGGTTGAGCTCTGGCTCTTTGGTCCCGCCTCTCAACCGTCAATCAACTGGTGTACAAGTTCCTGAGCCTATTGGGCTCTATCATATCTTCATTTGAAACTGTGTATGGAGTCAGCCTCCACCACATCACTTCCTAATGCATTCCATTTGTCAACCACTCTTGACACTAAAAAAGTTCTTTCTAATATCTCTGTGGCTATTAGAAAGAACTTTTTTTTTTTTGTGTGTGTGGGTGTGAGTGTTTGATTAGCAATGTGAAGGCTGCAATTGGTGGCGACATAAGAAACACACACACACACACACACACACACACACACACACACACACACACACACACACACACACACACACACACACACACACACACACACACTCAAACACCGTGACACACACCAACCGGACTGGACGGGGCCACACGTGTCAGAGGGCCGAGCTCTGACCTTCGCGGTTCCAATACAGAAACCAAAAAGTGTACTCAAAATGCTTTTAGTGACATTAGTATTTCTAGATTACTTAGATCTAGATATTATATTTAGATTATTTAGATTGTTTTTTTAGTATTTCTAATGGGACCTGAAGTATGCCTTGAATGCTGGTAGGAATGGGTGTATCTTTACATATGTTCAACATGCTCCACACATGTTCAAAATGTTCCATGTCATGTTGCACGTGAACATGCTCCACGCATGTTGAACATGCTCCAGGCATGTTCAACATGATCCACATGTTCAACAACCTCCACACATCTGCAAGATCCAGACATGTTCAGCAAATTACACAAACGTTCAACATGCTGTACACATGTTCGATAATCTCAACACATGTTCAGAATTCTTCACACGTTCAACATTCTTCACACACACATGTTCAACATGCTCCAGACATGTTCAATATGCTCCCTGCATGTTCAACATGGTCCAGAAATGTTCAGTTATTTGTTTAAACTGTCTCTAAGAGCCTTAATTATGATCAACATGACTACAACCTCACATATCGCTCATAACCTACAACACGCCGTTCAAAACATCAAGGTTTGTAGTGAGAAATATTGAACATTATTGTGTGTACATTAAGTACACAGACGTGCCACAGACGTGCCACAGACGTGCCACAGACGTGCCACAGACGTGCCACAGACGTGCCACAGACGTGCCACAGACGTGCCACAGACGTGCCACAGATATGAAGGAACTATGTAGCACCCGCGTCGTGAACCAGCTTGCTATAGTCATTATAGTTCCGGAAATATGTGGCTGGTGATGCCATGAGCGACCCCGAACAGCTTGCTGGATCTAAGTGTGGTCAATTGGGACCGTAGACTGCACAGCGCTCTGGTTCATGCAGTCGCTGGGAACTGGACCAACTAGCCTGTGACTATTCTCTCATAGCACGGGATCACGACTCACGTCTCTCTAAATCACTCAGTTCCATCAAAATGCAAATTTCTAAATCAAAATGTCACCCACCGGCCAAGACTGACAGTTCTGGCTGAGTTACCCATCTTCCGTCACATTGACGGCGGGCTAGAGACCATGAAGACTGAGGTGCTGGTCAAGCCTGTGTGTGGTATCGATACCTGCTCGTATCTTCCTCCTGCTCGTATCTTTCCCAGCTCGTATCTTCCTCCTGCTCGTATCTTCCCCCTGCTCGTATCTTCCCCATGCTCGTATCTTCCTCCTGCTCGTATCTTCCCCCTGCTCGTATCTTTCTCCTGCTCGTATCTTCCCCCTGCTCGTATCTTTCTCCTGCTCGTATCTTCCCCCAGCTCGTATCTTCCCCTAGCTCGTATCTTCCCCCAGCTCGTATCTTCCCCCAGCTCGTATCTTCTTCCTGCTCGTATCTTCCTCCTGCTCGTATCTTCCCCTGCTCGTAACATAAGAACGGCCTTTAGAAACTTATGTAAGGAATCTTTCAGAACATTATATACCACATATGTCAGACCAATCCTGGAGTATGCGGCACCAGTATGGAGTCCATATCTAGTCAAGCATAAGACTAAACTGGAAAAGGTTCAAAGGTTTGCCACCAGACTAGTACCCGAGCTGAGAGGTATGAGCTACGAGGAGAGACTACGGGAATTAAACCTCACTTCGTTGGAAAATAGAAGAGTTAGGGGGGACATGATCACCACATTCAAGATCCTCAAGGGAATTGACAGGGTTGATAAAGACTGGCTGTTTAACACAAGGGGCACACGCACTAGGGGACACAGGTGGAAACTGAGTGCCCAAATGAGCCACAGAGATATTAGAAAGAACTTTTTTAGTGTCAGAGTGGTTGACAAATGGAATGCATTAGGAAGTGATGTGGTGGAGGCTGACTCCATACACAGTTTCAAGTGTAGATATGATACCTGTACACCTGTTGATTGACAGTTGAGAGTCGGGACCAAAGAGCCAGAGCTCAACCCCCGCAAGCACAACTAGGTGAGTACAACTAGGTGAGTACACACACACACATCCACACAGGGGACTGGTGGCTGAGTGGACAGCGCTCTAGACTCGTGGACATAGGGACCGGGGTTCGATCCTCGCCGCCGTCGGAAAACAAATAGGCAGAGTTTCTTTCACCCTGATACCCCCCTGTTACCTAGCAGTAAATAGGTACCTGGGAGTCAGACAGCTGTTACAGAGCTGCTTCCTGTGTGTGTGTGTGGGAGGGTGGGAGGGGGGGGAATTATTAGTAGTTAGTAACAGTTGATTGATTGACAGTTGAGAGGCGGGCTGAAAGTGCAAAACTCAACCCCCACTAGCACAACTAGGTGAACACACACACACACACACACACACACACACACACACACACACACACACACACACACACACACACACACACACTCACACACAACATTGACAGTTGAGAGGCGGGACCAAAGAGCCAAAGCTCAACCCCCGCAAGCACAAATAGGTGAGTACACATACAGTGAAATAAACTCTTAACGGAAAATTATTCAGCCAAATTTCTCGACTTGGTCTTGAACTGAAGCTAGTTCATCTGTTGCATTTTTTCACCGAATATATTATTCAACACCGAAACTATCAAAGTAAACTGGACGGCTATAATGCTTATGATTAGTTAAACCATAATCCCAATCAATCTCATTAGAAAGTTGAGGATATTATAATGGATATGACCTTTGGGTCACCCAAGCATACAGGATATTAAGGGTCCCGCGACACAAGGTTGCCTGCTCGGTCCAGTATATATATATATGGGACCGGACTCCTCACACTCACACCTCTCCTTTCTCCAGTCCAGGACAGTAACCGAGCAGTCATGAAGGTCCAGGTCAGTATCCCCTTCTCTTTGTAGCTCTCGTTTTCTCTCTCTCTCTGTCTCTCTCTCTCTCTCTCTCTCTCTCTCTCTCTCTCTCTCTCTCTCTCTCCCATATTATTGTTTGATTTTGATATTCGACTTATAGCCTAATGAACAAGTTTTGTTTCATTTGAGTATGTTTATTAAACATGTTCCTTGCTTGTTTAATAGGCCCTACACATGTTCAATAAGCTCCACACTCATGTTCAACACACACACAAACAAACCTTCACATCATTTCAATCCGGATAAAACTTCCATGTAAGGTGCACCTTTTCATGACTAGGAATGTATCCCTATTCCCTCTCTGTATGTATTAGCTTTTTTTTTAGAGAACACACCGTTTTCATAAGCATATACCTCCGTGTTATACAAGAGTCGCCTAACTGCCATTACAGCTAGTATCAAGAGTTACAGATGTATAATGCTGTACTCCCTAAATGTGAACACAGAACACTTTAAATATCGATTCCAGAGAACAAATTATAAAATTATCTGTTTTAAATTCATCTTCAGGTCGTGATGATGTTGTTAGCGCTCTCTGTAGTGGCTTCAGTAGCTGTGGCGGAGCCCGAGGCCAAGCCAGATTTCCACCTTGGTCTCTTAAGCCCCGGAGGGGTCGGTGGCTTTGGTAAGCAAGCGGGTTATGGCGGCCAGGATGACATCGGGTCGCTGTTGGGTCTCAAGGTCCTGGCGGCTCTAGGGGGCCTCAAAGCTCTTGGTGTTGCTGGGGCCCTTGGAGGTCTCGGAGGCCTTAGAGGCCTAGGCAACGGCCTTGGTGGTGGTGGTGGTGGTGGCCGTGGCTACTATGGAACCCCATATTACAATGCTGGTTACGGCTCTTCTTCAAACAACTTCCCGCTCAAGAAGAGCTACACTACTTAAGAACCTCCGGCTGATTATTAACTACTCCAGCGGATACGGGTACTCGAAGAACTGGAGAATTGAACGAAGAACGAAGAGCTATGAGCTGCGGCACGTCTCCCTCAGCACCGTCCAGATCTACCGAGCTTCTGCAGTTAGCAATAACTAAGAGCTCCAGTAATGTGCATGTTCTTCTGTTAGTAAAAAGATCAGCTATTTTTATGAAGTATAATTTCATCCTCTTGGTCAAGGCTCCTGCCACCAACCTTCAGTAGTATATGTGCACATGTGAGCTTAAGTAAAATGTATGAAATGGATTAAGTTTCTTATATGTATAATTTATATAAATATAATAAGTTTCTTATATTTATGTAATTTGTAGTGGCTATAGACTTAATACTGAGACAGTTCAGCTCAGTGCATACACACTGATCAAGGTGCATATATTTTTTGGTATACAAGTAACTCTGCCCTTGATCACCCCCATAGTAACATATATAATATAAGTGGTCTCAGTAAAGGTCCAACCTTGGGTTCATAGTGAGACCTTTATCAGTGGCCTCGTTGTCCAGTCGTCCGGCCTGACACAATCCTCAGTGATACAAACATTGAATGTCTCAAAGGAATGACAATTATTTGGCTTCCAAGTGAGTTAAAAATTTGTTGAGGGTTTATTTAAATCTTTTGATTTTGACTGAGGTAAACCAATAGGCTGTGGAAGCAGAGTTGAGAAGGATATCCACCTGCTTTGATATAACTCCAGAATAGTGAATGTTAACAGACTTTTTCAGTTTAAAATCCGGTTAGAAAAAAAATCATGAAGAACACTGAGTGACAATATGATAAGGCGACGGCTTCCTGTCCCCGTCAAAGTCATGAGAGAGAGAGAGAGAGAGAGAGGGTGACCTTCAGTAGATCCCCCCCCCCCTTTTCCACGGCTATTTTAGACTAGTCCCCGCTGAATATCCTTCGTTTTCTATGTTTATCGACATACTGACCTTTCTTTTAGTTCGTTATGCCTGGGACAGAAAGCCTGTGTTTATATATACTTTAGCCTCGTATCGAAGTCTCCTTTAAGGTCGAACCACTGTCCCGCCCTAAGATACCCCACCACAGTTGCCTAATTTCCGGATACCTATTTACTTCTAGCTGAATAGAGGCATAATAGTTGGAAAGAAAAGTACTCAGCCGTTTCTGTCCCGCTGGGAATCGAACCCAGGATCCCCAATTGTGAGTGTAGAATGAAGCCAAGTGTACTTGAAGACCACCTTGTAATATATATATATCCCCTTATTATAGTGGAGAGGGGGGACCTGCTGCATGGGTAACAGCTTCTCCGTATCAACCTACCCTGGCTTTGCGCCCTGGTGAGGCCACTCCAGACCGACAACCAGAGCGCAACTCCATAGTCTCCTGAGACTGATGGATGCCTACTACTACTATTATGTTACTTGCTCCTGGTGGTGTCTGTCCTCACCTAGATGTGCGTGCAGGGTCGAGCTAGGCTCCTGGCCCCCGCCTTGTCAACGCTCTTAGACTAATGGTCCCTCGCTGTTGTTTAGACCTTGACCATGGCGTGAAGGCGAGGGCACGGCCATGCCTCGCCGTGTTCGTGTGCTCCTCGGTGACTTACGCCTCAAGGCTGCCACTAATCTGACAGCTCTCTTAACCAGTAGAGCAGAGAGGCGCGCGAAGCAGTGATGTCAGGCCACTTCTCCCGGCCAGTAGAGCAGAGAATCACGTAATGGGGTCGTATTGACATCATCAAGTCGGATCAAACCTCATTATATTCGACTTTAATACAAGTCGAGCAACAAATCGGCACCTTGTTGTTCCTCATACCATAAATATATAATAATTATAAAATATATGTCGACATATTAATAATATAGTAATTTACTAAGTATGATGGAAGGTTTAGTGAAATGATTGGATAAAAAATTAAATGAAGGATAAGTGAATTTAGTGAAATGTATTTTAATGAAACAGTGTCAGTGTGTCGATAATGAAATTTGAAATGTATTTTAATGAAATGAATTTTAGTTTCATTTAGTGAAATGAAGGATAAGTGAAATGATTCTCATCTTCACTTTATTTAAAATATCAGATGTTTGGAAGTCGTAGCTCCGTCGTCAGTGCTGAGACACAAGAAATACAACGCAGGATTAGCTAAAAGCATTTTAGTAATTTTAATTCATTTAATGAGATATATAATTGTTAACTATATATATTAATATGTTAACTTTGGCTTCATGGTGAGTTTTCCAGTGGCCTCAACCAATCGTCGAATTCCTCCATTCACCTGGGCTGTAGGAAACTCGAACCGTGGACTTCACATGTGTGAGGTCGAAGCTCTATCGATCGAGCTATTTCTTCGACCGACCGAGTTGAATTCCTCATTAGCCTAAGCCAAGGCTCGACCTTGATAACAAGACAAGGCCTCAGAAGCCTCGCCCTAGGCTTCAGTACGAGACTTACTCAGTTGGCTCAGCCAACTTGACTTCAGGAGGAAGCTTCCTCAGCAGTCGGCGGACATCTTTGCCAGTTCCTTCCTGAGCAGTTTCCCTGTTGAGTTCTTGGGCAGAGCCTCCACGAAGTTAACGCCCCCGGCCAGCCTCTTGTGTTCAGCCACGCGGGACTCCAAGAACCTATAAAATGACATTTTATGAAAATATTAACCAAGACTATTGATTGATTGATGAAGATTAAGCCACCCAAGAGGTGGCACGGGCATGAATAGCCCGTAAGTGGTGGCCCTTTTGAGCCATTACCAGTATCAAGAGCTGATACTGGAGATCTGTGGAGGTGCGACTGCACCCTGCGTGACGGGAGATGTCTCCCGTGTGTTACTCCTGAAACCAACACGTGACCGACCTAGCTTATGTATAAACTGGATAATCCTCTCATCTCCCTCACCAGAAGGTGACCTGACAAGGATCTCTAGCGCATGACTTTCGTAATGTGTGTCTATGTATATATTAACACGTTGTACTGAACGGGGTGAGAATAGCTTGAGCTACCTCATCCCTTTGTGTGTATTTTACCTCAATAAACTTATTTCTATTTCAATTTCGTATTACAAACAGCACTCACAGAAACATGGAGGAATGTGGGAAAACATGGAGCTAGTCGAGGAATACTAAACTAAGGACATTGCTTCACACTGCTGGCCAACCTAAGTGAAGAGGAACAGTACTAAGTATATAAGTTTAGAGGAAACTGCAGGAGGACTATTGGCCCATGGGAGGCAGTTCCTATTGTGTTGATTTATAGTGACATAATTGCCATGGGATCACTGGGTTGGTTCAAAGAGTATTTATGATAAATATATCAGTGGGTGTAGTTAGAAATACATAGATAGTAAGGGTAGGTAAATGTCATGAGAAAGTTTGAAGCAAGTACGACTATATAACACTTGGAGGGGCTGTGAGGAGGTGGCGCTGGAACACGAGTAGGGAGTGAAGGAAGCGTGAAGACCACTTACACTCTCGGGGCTCCAACGCTAACCCTGCACTAAGCGAGTCCGTCGCTCTGCCATCCAGTCCAAGTGATTGCGTGGAAGTAAATAGAAGCTGTCTCACATGAGGCAAGAGGACTTGAGCAATTCTTCTGTTTATATGTGAATTATTTGGTAAAGTTTCCATGAAACTGGAGAAGCGGTTGGGGGCGGTGACAGTCATGGACTCTGGGGCCGTGATCGTTGGTGCTTGTGGCAGCAAGTTACACTCTGCTGAGGGAGCCGCAGTACAGCAAGTACTGGTGTCGACAAAGGACTATTCCGTCTATACTCTACACCAAGGTGACCGCCTAACACCCAACCAGTAACCGGATACGTTGTAAAACTCCCTGATTTGTGTCCCGCAAAATAAGAAATGTATATTACAGGATGTTTGTAACGGCAGTCCTTCAGTTCGTGACATTTGATTAATGTTTCATACGATGAAAACTTATGCCCAGGACGACATCTGGTCATCGTAAGGCAGACACAACATACTCTGAGGTGTAGCTCTCAGTGTATATGCACTGAGTTACTTGCGGGTTGGTCAGTAACTAGTGTGGTGGAAGTCTTAAGAACCCTCTCTCACCTCTTGGTGATATTAGGATGTTTGTCTAAGATTCTAAGGTATGTGATAATTAAACCATCGTCACTGTATGATAAGGTCTCGTCTTATCCAATTTCTCGTGTCGTGTAGCGCACACATATACTGGGACATCCTACACCTACACCACACCCGTGGATGTCCCCCCCCCACACCACCCTCCCTTCTCCCCACCATGCTGTGGATGTCCCCCACCACCTCCCTGCCCCACCATACCTGTGGATGTCCCCCCACCACCTCCCTGCCCCACCATACCTGTGGATGTCCCCCCACCACCTCCCTGCCCCACCATACCTGTGGATGTCCCCCCACCACCTCCCTGCCCCACCATACCTGTGGATGTCCCCCCACCACCTCCCTGCCCCACCATACCTGTGGATGTCCCCCACCACCTCCCTGCCCCACCATACCTGTGGATGTCCCTCCACCACCTCTCTGCCCCACCATACCTGTGGATGTCCCCCCACCACCTCCCTGCCCCACCATACCTGTGGATGTCCCCCCACCACCTCTCTGCCCCACCATACCTGTGGATGTCCCCCCACCACCGCCCAGCCCCACCATACCTGTGGATGTCCCCCCACCACCCTCCCTGCCCCACCATACCTGTGGATGTCCCCCCACCACCTCCCTGCCCCACCATACCTGTGGATGTCCCCCCACCACCTCCCTGCCCCACCATACCTGTGGATGTCCCCCCACCACCCTCCCTGCCCCACCATACCTGTGGATGTCCCCCCACCACCTCCCTGCCCCACCATACCTGTGGATGTCGTCTGGCTTCAAGTTGTCCTTAGCGACGACGAAGGCCCTGGGCGCCTCCCCCAGCCTGTCGTGCTGCACGCCCACCACGCCCACGTCCAGCACGTCCGGATGCTGCCGGATCACGTCCTCCAGCTCCGACGGGGATACCTGCGGGCGCGGGGAAAAATGCCTAGGTTGAGTTGGGTTGGGTTGGGTTAGATGTGTTTACAGAGCCGGGCTCCCGTAGAGGGTTGCATAGTTGTCTCAGGTCTTAGACGGTACTCTAGTGTATGTGGACAACATATGTTATTACAGTTCCATCTGCAGAGTAGTGAATTTGTGCGCGTGTGCATTCACCTATGCGTGCCTTCAGGATCGAGCTCTAGCTATTTGGACCCCGTCTTTCAAGCCTCCGGGTGCCTGATGACTCCTGACCTATTTTTTTCTTATTTCATCCGCTTTTGAAATCAAAATAGAGATCCCTTCTTCATACTGATCGTTTTCTTTGTTTCACTGTTCAACTTTTACGTCAGATAAACTTTTTAACTTCTCTCTGGGTCATTTGTTGCTCACGCTCCCATCCATGGCCTCTTGATCCATTGGTTTGTTGTGGAGGTTTAATGTGTGTGTGTGTGTGTACTCACCCATTTGTGGTGAGAACACACACATTACATGTTCACAGGAAACCAATGTGTGTGTGTGTGTGTGTGTGTGTGTGTGTGTGTGTTCTGTTCCTCATTGTATGCACGATGTCTTTCTGTCTCTCTCTCTCTCTCTCTGTCTCTCTCTCTCTCTCTCTCTCTCTCTCTCTCTCTCTCTCTCTCTCTCTCTCTCTCTCTCTCTCTCTCTCTCTCTCTCTCTCTCTCTCTCTCTCTCTCTCTCTCTCTCTCTCTCTCTGTCGCTCTGTCTCTCTCTCTCTCTCTCTCTCTCTCTCTCTCTCTCTCTCTCTCTCTCTCTCTCTCTCTCTCTCTCTCTCTCTCTCTCTCTCTCTCTCCCTCCCTCCCTCCCTCCCTCCCTCAGATATTACCTGGAAGGCCTTGACCTTGATGAGTTCCTTGGTGCGGTCGACGATCTTGAAGAAGCCCTCCTCGTCGTAGTGGCCAACGTCGCCGGTATGGAGCCATCCCTCACTGTCTATGGTCTCAGCCGTCGCCTTCGGGTTGTTGTGGTAACCGGACATCATCTGTCGAGGGGTCCACAGTACAGCGTGTAAACAATAGACTTCTTTCTGTCTATTCCAAGGGAACCAGCTGAACAAAACCCCGTCCAATCTACAGTTACCGGATTAATGAGATTTTGCTGATAGAAAACCAGAAGGCTCTCCCTTCACTCTTCTCTCTCAGCTCTCACAAAGTGTGTGGTAACCGTGACATACTGTAAACAAGTATATTGGACTTTGTTTATTACCTGAGCTATATTGCCTATTACCGCCGCCAGGGTCTATAAGCTGCTAATTAAGCTGGCATTGTCCACATCGTAACAGGCTGCACCCAAACGAGGTATTAGTATGCCATATACAGGAACAGTTCCTGTGTGCTTTTCGGTGGGCATTCATCAAGCACCTAGTTTGTAGGTGCTTGATGAATGGTGCTCATTCAATAGTTGACGATCTTTGGAAGCGCTACGAAGTTGTCTATAACAATAATGACATTTTCGAGCTCGTAAATTGATGAATTAAATGTAAACAAAGCCGCCATCATGGAGGAAAAAACAGGTTTCGTCATTGGTCACGTTAAATGGTTGAGAAACCCCGGTCTGGGAAGTCCTCAAGCATGGCTCGCCGTAGTCACTTCCGTAGTGGAAGTTGGCTGCCACAGAAGCCACATTTGTTTAATAATTCAAAAGGATGAATTGTGTATTCTTATAAAGTTTTTTTTTTAATTAAAATCGGTGACATTAATTATTGCATTTACAGCGTATCGAGGAGATGGTATTGTGTTGTAGTGTCATAAAGTGTCAGGAAAAGTATCTCCTGTGTTGCAACAGTTGATATGGAAGCTCATACTCGAGGGAGTGTCACTTACTGAAGGAGTCTTGATACAAATTTCACCATCCTGGTGAGCTGGGAGCGCCTCCCCGGTGGTCAAGCTCACCACCTTGGCTGTCACGTCTGGCAAGAGCTTGCCAATCGTGCCTATTTTCTCCAGCCTATTTGGTACTAGCGAAGCAATTAGCACCTCGGTCATTCCCCATCCTGTTGGCACAAATAAATCACAGTCACCAGGAAGAGTTATCTTTGAGATATTTTTAAATTATTTGAATAAGGTTATTGAGTTGACCAATCTGGTGTTATGTAGGACATGTCAAAAATCTACATATACAGTTTGTGTTGTCTAGAAAACGATTTTCCTGTAATGCTAAACTGTTGATAAATGTTTTTTTATGTATTGATGGATGTTTTAATATACTTTTTTTTAGCCAAAAACTGTATATGCCTATTTTTGCTAAATTCTGCCTTGCTCATGTAAAACTAGGATTAACAAAAATTATGTTCAATATAATACATAATTCATTACTTTTGATAGGTATTTATATATATATATATATATATATATATATATATATATATATATATATATTTATATATATATATATATATATATATATATATATATATATATATATATATATATATATATATATATTGATCCAACACCAACTTATCCACCTCACTTTACAGAAATAAGCGAATTTTTCCTCACTACTGCCAATCTTAAGTAGTAATTAACGATATTAAATAATAATTCACGCAATCATTCACACATTACATTATTGTAAGTAAAATATTCCACCTAGGTCCAGTAGACTAAGACAAAACTCTCTCCTGTATATATATATATATATATATATATATATATATATATATATATATATATATATATATATATATATATATATATATGTGTGTGTGTGTGTATTAGTAAGAGAGGAAATAAGAGCAGAGTACACACCAGATACTTGCAAGATTAGATCGCTTTAGGGAGGTTGGAGAGATGTGTTGTGTGTGTAGTGGAGTGTGTTAGTGCCTGCTGTGTAGTGGAGTGTGTTAGTGCCTGCTGAGAGCAACATCAAACACACACACAGAGGCCTGACCTGGCCTGTGTGTGGGGGGGGGGCCCTGACGGCTGAGTGGACAGCGCTCAGAATTCGTAGTCCTAGGGGTCCGGGGATCGATTCCCTGCCGAAGCGGAAACAAATGGGCCTAGTTTCTTTCACCCTGATGCACCTGATTACCTAGCAGTAAATAGGTACCTGGGAGTTAGATAGCTGATACGGGCTACTTAATGGGGACGTGTATTCACCAAGTTGTATTTACCTAGTTGTGCTTGCGGGGGTTGAGCTCTGCTCTTTCGGCCCGTCTCTCAACTGTTATTACTAAGATTTTTCCCTTACACACATACGCTTCCCAGGAAGCAGCCCATAACAGCTGTCTAACTCCCAGGTACCTATTTAGTGCTAGGTAGCAGGGGCATCAGGGTGAAAGAAACTCTGCCCATTGTTCTTCGCCCATCATGATCGAACCCGGACCCTGGGATTACGAGTCCCAAGCGCTGTTCATTCAGCCACGGCTCCCGTATGTGTTAGAGTGAAATATACGTAATAGATATAATAGAGGAAAATAGATTGGTTAGAAAGGCTAGGCCGAAGAGCTAATAGCTCTATTATGCAGACACAAATAGTAAATATATCTACAAATCTTGAAAAATCGAATACCTCCTTCCATACTGTTCCCTAAGTTACTCAAGTTAATAAGTTGCGTACCTAGTTAGTATTAAGTTAGTTTGTAAGGTTTCCCCTGATAATTCCCTTCCCTTCCTCACCCTCGTGAAAAAATGCGTCACTGTTGATCTTCTCCCGAAGGGCTCTGGCGGCCGACGGGTGCACAGGCGCTGCGCCGCACGCGATTCTCTTGACATGAGACATTGTCTCCGGCGTCGCCTTGGGAGAGTTGATCAGGAAGTTGAGGATCGGAGGAACCAGGTGAAGTGTCTGTATCTGTGGGGAGCAGTGAGGCAACTTCTTGTATTACGGCGCCTTACACAGATCTACAGACCTGTCCGACACGCGGTTACAAATTAGACCAAGTTCCAGCTTTATTATCCAGACGAAGAGGTTCCCGTTTCGACCACTCTCTCTCTGTCTCTCTCTCTCTCTCTCTCTCTCTCTCTCTCTCTCTCTCTCTCTCTCTCTCTCTCTCTCTCTCTCTCTCTCTCTCTCTCTCTCTCTCTCTCTCTCTCTCACCTGGTGCTGGTAGATGAGGTCGATGTAGGTGTTGCTGTCGAACTTGGGCAGCGTCAGGAGCTTGGCGCCCTCGTAGAGGCCGCAGATGGTCAGCACCACGATGCCGTACACGTGGAAGAAGGGCATCAAGCACAGGAAGGCCTCCTGCTGCGTCTCTGGAGGAGATGAGACATTCTCTCTGGTGTGTCCGGTGGTGTTAGTGGGGGCATGGTTATACCAGTGGGTTGTTAAGGGGTTCGTGCCCCACCATTCTACACCTTCCCTTCTGTCTCTGTCTCTTTGTCTATTTTAATGTTTTATCTCTCTCTCGGCAGCTATTTCTATTTTTATTTCTCTGTCACTGTCTCTGTCTCTTCGTTTCATCCTCTCTCTCTCTCTCTCTCTCTCTCTCTCTCTCTCTCTCTCTCTCTCTCTCTCTCTCTCTCTCTCTCTCTCTCTCTCTCTCTCTCTCTGTTTCAATATAAAAATAAGGTTTATATGTGTTTGTACCTTTGTTGTGGTGGTCCTCGGGAGGTGGCACCCCTGGTACCTTACCTGTGGTGGTCCTCGGGGAGGTGGTAGCCCTGGCACCTTACCTGTGGTGGTCCTCGGGAGGTGGCACCCCTGGTACCTTACCTGTGGTGGTCCTCGGGGAGGTGGTAGCCCTGGCACCTTACCTGTGGTGGGCCTGACGCCGAAGATGTCCGGATGTGAGAAGCGCACAGTGTTGGCCGACAAGGCGTTGTGAGAGACACTAACACCTTTGGGTGGCCCCGTGGTGCCGCTGGAGTACGGCAACACCGCTATCTCCTCCCCCGTCAGCTGTGGGGTGGGAAGATGAGGGCTGTGAGGAAGATGAGGGTTGTGAGGAAGATGAGGGCTGTGAGGAAGATGAGGGTTGTGAGGAAGATGAGGGCAGTGAGGAAGATGAGGGCTGTGAGGAAGATGAGGGTTGTGAGGAAGATGAGGGTTGTGAGGAAGATGAGGGTTGTGAGGAAGATGAGGGCTGTGAGGAAGATGAGGGCTGTGAGGAAGATGAGGGCTGTGAGGAAGATGAGGGCTGTGAGGAAGATGAGGGTTGTGAGGAAGATGAGGGCTGTGAGGAAGATGAGGGCAGTGGGGAAGATGAGGGCTGTGAGGAAGATGAGGGCTGTGAGGAAGATGAGGGCAGTGAGGAAGATGAGGGCGGTGAGGAAGATGAGGGCTGTGAGGAAGATGAGGGCTGTGAGGAAGATGAGGGCTGTGAGGAAGATGAGGGTTGTGAGGAAGATGAGGGCTGTGAGGAAGATGAGGGCTGTGAGGAAGATGAGGGCTGTGAGGAAGATGAGGGCTGTGAGGAAGATGAGGGCAGTGGGGAAGATGAGGGCTGTGAGGAAGATGAGGGCAGTGAGGAAGATGAGGGCTGTGAGGAAGATGAGGGCTGTGAGGAAGATGAGGGCAGTGAGGAAGATGAGGGTGGTGAGGAAGATGAGGGCTGTGAGGAAGATGAGGGCTGTGAGGAAGATGAGGGCTGTGAGGAAGATGAGGGTTGTGAGGAAGATGAGGGCTGTGAGGAAGATGAGGGCTGTGAGGAAGATGAGGGCTGTGAGGAAGATGAGGGCTGTGAGGAAGATGAGGGCAGTGGGGAAGATGAGGGCTGTGAGGAAGATGAGGGCAGTGAGGAAGATGAGGGCTGTGAGGAAGATGAGGGCTGTGAGGAAGATGAGGGCTGTGAGGAAGATGAGGGCTGTGAGGAAGATGAGGGTTGTGAGGAAGATGAGGGCAGTGAGGAAGATGAGGGCTGTGAGGAAGATGAGGGCTGTGAGGAAGATGAGGGTTGTGAGGAAGATGAGGGCTGTGAGGAAGATGAGGGCTGTGAGGAAGATGAGGGTTGTGAGGAAGATGAGGGCTGTGAGGAAGATGAGGGCTGTGAGGAAGATGAGGGCAGTGAGGAAGATGAGGGCGGTGAGGAAGATGAGGGCTGTGAGGAAGATGAGGGCTGTGAGGAAGATGAGGGCTGTGAGGAAGATGAGGGTTGTGAGGAAGATGAGGGCTGTGAGGAAGATGAGGGTTGTGAGGAAGATGAGGGCAGTGAGGAAGATGAGGGCAGTGAGGAAGATGAGGGCTGTGAGGAAGATGAGGGCTGTGAGGAAGATGAGGGCTGTGAGGAAGATGAGGGTTGTGAGGAAGATGAGGGCAGTGAGGAAGATGAGGGCTGTGAGGAAGATGAGGGCTGTGAGGAAGATGAGGGCTGTGAGGAAGATGAGGGCAGTGAGGAAGATGAGGGTTGTGAGGAAGATGAGGGCAGTGAGGAAGATGAGGGCTGTGAGGAAGATGAGGGCTGTGAGGAAGATGAGGGCTGTGAGGAAGATGAGGGCTGTGAGGAAGATGAGGGCAGTGAGGAAGATGAGGGCTGTGAGGAAGATGAGGGCTATGAGGAAGATGAGGGCAGTGAGGAAGATGAGGGCTGTGAGGAAGATGAGGGCTGTGAGGAAGATGAGGGCTGTGAGGAAGATGAGGGCAGTGAGGAAGATGAGGGCTGTGAGGAAGATGAGGGCTGTGAGGAAGATGAGGGCTGTGAGGAAGATGAGGGCAGTGAGGAAGATGAGGGCTGTGAGGAAGATGAGGGCTGTGAGGAAGATGAGGGCTGTGAGGAAGATGAGGGCTGTGAGGAAGATGAGGGCAGTGAGGAAGATGAGGGCGGTGAGGAAGATGAGGGCTGTGAGGAAGATGAGGGCTGTGAGGAAGATGAGGGCTGTGAGGAAGATGAGGGTTGTGAGGAAGATGAGGGCTGTGAGGAAGATGAGGGCTGTGAGGAAGATGAGGGCTGTGAGGAAGATGAGGGCTGTGAGGAAGATGAGGGCAGTGGGGAAGATGAGGGCTGTGAGGAAGATGAGGGCAGTGAGGAAGATGAGGGCTGTGAGGAAGATGAGGGCTGTGAGGAAGATGAGGGCTGTGAGGAAGATGAGGGCTGTGAGGAAGATGAGGGTTGTGAGGAAGATGAGGGCAGTGAGGAAGATGAGGGCTGTGAGGAAGATGAGGGCTGTGAGGAAGATGAGGGTTGTGAGGAAGATGAGGGCAGTGAGGAAGATGAGAGCTGTGAGGAAGATGAGGGCTGTGAGGAAGATGAGGGCTGTGAGGAAGATGAGGGAATGCCAGGAAGACAACCAACGTATTTCCTCACTACGAGCAATAAACAGTTTACAATCAAGTAATACGTGCTTGTCTCAGAAGCTAGACGTAGATATATAAGAATACTTAGCAAGAGGGTAAATATAAAAATGTTGTGGATTCCTTCTCACATTGGCCTGCAGGAACATGACAAAGTTGACGCCCTTGCTAAGGCTGCAGTAAATAAAGACAGTATTGAACGGAATCTTGAGTTATCAAATAGGTCCCTTAAAAGTGTCATTAGACGAGAACTCCTGGATGGATTTGAAGAAAGTAGAACAGTGCAAACTGGAACTAGCAGGTCCATTGTTCATCACAATGAAATGTGTGAAGTAAAACATGTGTATGGGGCAAGTAACAAAGTAAGTAGACTAACAGATGTTGTCACAGCTCGTATAAGACTTGGCTACAAGTATCTCTGGCAGTTCGGCTTGTATAGGGATCTAGATGAAGTAAAGTGTAAAGTGTGTGGACAAAGACAGGGACACACTCGATCACTATATCTTGGAGTGTAGTAAAATTGAGCCATTTAGAGATAAATCTAAGCTCACTCTGTATGATATTGCAACCTATCTTATTACCATGGATAAATTACCTGAAATCCTTGCACTGTATCCATATTTCACTTTCAGTAGATAAACGACATATGAGATTAAGAAACAAGTAGTGTATTGTGAAGACTAATAATAAACAGCAGCACCCTAATGACTGTAATATCACCATTGTTGAAACAATTATGTATTAGCGAAAAGCCCTACCATTAATGTATAATGACTTACTGTAAATATATAGCTCTTGAAATAGAACATTCTCGGTAACTAGCTGACATGTAACTATATGGTGTGAAAGATAGATGAAATTGTTTATGTAATAATTCAAGATGAGGTCTGATAAAGACCTTTTGTGCCCTCTGTAATGCTTTTGCGCTACCGCTCACAGGATGGGTATGGGGTGCACAATAAACTTGCGGCCTCCGGCGGCAACAATCAATATTACATGAAGGAAAATGAAGTATGACATACTTGGGACTTTCGTGTCTATTGCAACATGGGGTCGTTACGTGTGGTTAATTAGGTAGAAGTTATAACTTGTTGGGGAATACAAGTTACCTTAACAGGGTCGACTAAGGGGATGGTTGGGTCATCAAGGATCTTCTGCAGGTTAAGGGAGCCCTGGGTGCTTGAGGGCCCGTTAATTACTAGGTGAGTAGGGCACTTGTAGAGCCTGAGAGCCTCAGATAGTGTGGTCTCGATTTGAGGGTCACCCACTACCAGCTTCGCCTGGCTGTCGGACAGTTGTCGAGAGATCTCCTCTGTGGACGACAAGAACGAAGAAGGTAACAGTTACTGGCAAGCGTCTTTGCTCAGCCAATCAGCGCTCGCCATCGCGGGAGCGGGCGAGGTTTTATAACCGGCGGGAAATTTGAAATTTCAAATTTTGCCCCGAGTAGCGGGTTTATTAGGCAGCGCCACTCATCCTGTGAGTGGACACACCGCCATAGCAGCATGTACAACACTCCCCAATAGGAAGAAAACCCACTGGGATGTTCATCCTGTCACTTATACCCAGACACAGCTGGGACTTGCTTAACTGTCTCAAGTGAACAGCTTCCCCAGCCAACCAGCGGGAGTGAGGCACAGACCAGCACACTGACCTGGGGTGTAGACGGGGTTGATGGTGGTAACTGTCGCGCCCACAGCCAGCGTGCCAAATAGGATCATAGGGTATTCCGGGCAATTGGGCAGAGCTATTCCCACCACGTCCCCCTTGGTCACCCCAAGCTTGGCCAACAGGCCTCCCCACCGCCCAACCCCTTCCATCAGCTGCTCGTACGTGTAACTTCGACCAGTCACGCTGCACTCCTGAAAGATGAAAAACATGTCAAAGACACGATCCTGTCTCGCCAGAAAATAAACAGAGCAGCAATACACAAATTCTATTTCAACCAAATCTATAAAACAACCACAATTGCTAATCAGAGTTACTAGGTGTAAAATGCCGTTGAACGACCCCCAGTAGCTATTCTGAATAACTACCGGACTGCCCCCGTCCCCGTAACTACCACTGACAAGTAGTTATGTGAGCGCACCGTAGCAGTCTTGTTGGTCCACTTGGAGACGTTCTTGAAGACCAGGTCGACGAGGTTCCCCTGCGGTAGTTCCATGCTCGGGTAATGTGACTTTTGGATATTTAGAGCAGTCTCCGTGGACTCGTGCAGGGACCTCCTCCTCCATGACCTGTGACGAGAGAGGTGTGTCAGGACACTCACCCGTCACACAACACACTCACCCGTCACACAACACTCACTTGTCACGGAACACTCACTTGTCACGGAACACTCACTTGTCACGGAACACTCACTTGTCACACAACACTGACCTGTCACGGAACACTCACCCGTCACACAACACTCACCCGTCACACAACACACTCACCCGTTACACAACACACTCACCCGTCACACAACACACTCACCCGTCACACAACACTCACCCGTCACAACACACACACCCGTCACGGAACACTCACCCGTCACAACACACACACCCGTCACACAACACTCACCCGTCACACAACACACCCGTCACACAACACACTCACCCGTCACACAACACTCACCCGTCACAGAGAGGTCTGATGGCAGCCGCTCTGCGCCACGAGCCACGAACCAACACATGCATGGCTGGAAAGTAAACAAAACAAATTACATTTAACCACATTTTACCTGTCGTAAAATGTTCATAAATATGAATTTAAGACGTCTTAGAAACAAGGCCACAAGACCAGTGTTCTTATCTTCGCCCTCCTTATGGAGACGATAAGTTAAACAACAATCTTGACGATAAGTTAAGCTTGACCACAGCAGATAAAGACAAGTATTTACTAGAAACAACAGGATTAAATGGCATTGAATTACGTGTTGATTAGGGTCCAAGACGGACCGAAACGTCGTGAGGGTTCAAGACGGACCGAAACGTCGTGAGGGTCCAAGACGGACCGAAACGTCGTGAGGGTTCAAGACGGAACGAAACGTCGGCATGTCTGTTTGATTATAGACGTTTTGGGCTGGGTTTTTGAAAGCAGTTTTTCATTTAGAAATGTGTTACTCAGTAGCACCGAATTAGATCAATTCAAGGATTAATTGAATTCAATTTATTCAAATAATCAAGGATTAATTAATAAACTAATCAAGGATTAGATCAATGATTTTTAAGTTTATAAAGTTAATTTTATAATTATATTGAGCCTAATGCGTGTTGGTAAAGGATATGTTTTTGCTAAAGCTCTCTTTAACATCATCGGAAGCAGAGGGGAAAAATAATAATCAGATGTGACAATATATATATACAATGTAGGATGTGAGGAGGGGGGGGACCTGCTGCTGCATGGGTAACAGCTTTTCCTCCATACAGACCTACCCAGGCTTTGCGCCCCTGGAGAGGACACTCCAGTCTAGACAACCCGAGCGCAACATCATAGTCCTCCAAGACTGCAGGATGCCTACTTCTAAGATCTGAGGTGTCACTCAGTCGAAAGGACTTGAGAGCAATCCTACATTCCCTCTGATTGGCTGGAGCAGTAGATGTGGTGAGAGCTGGAGCAGTAGATGGTAGAATGTAGATGAGCGTAATCTGGCTGTTGAATAGTTGGATAAGAGTGTGTGTGTGGCATGTAGTGCTTCGGCTATGTGCCTCTACATAGGTTCAGTGTCTCTCGCAAGGTCAGAGACCGGGCCACGGGGACGTTGATCCTCGGAATCAGCGCAAGGTAGGTTCCCCGTCTCTCGTAAGTTCTGCTTTCATCTGGTATTTGTTATCCTAAGTCCTGCTTTCATCTGGTATTTGCTATCTTAAGTCTTTCTGTCATCTGGTATTTGTTATCTTAAGTCCTTCTTTCATCTGGTATTTGTTATCTTAAGTCCTTCTTTCATCTGGTATTTGTTATCTTAAGTCCTTCTTTCATCTGGTATTTGTTATCTTAAGTCCTTCTTTCATTTGGTATTTGTTATCTTAAGTCCTTCTTTCATCTGGTATTTGTTATCTTAAGTCCTTCTTTCATCTGGTATTTGTTATCTTAAGTCCCTCTTTCATCTGGTATTTGTTATCTTAAGTACTTCTTTCATCTAGTATTTGTTATCTTAAGTCCTTCTTTCACCTAGTACTTATTATCTTATGTTCAATACGTCTAATAATTCGAACCCTTTAAATTTCGTAATTTTCCTTTCCACATAAACGTTGTTAAGGTGTATAATAAACAGGCTTGTGAGACCTTCTTATCAAACTCATCCTTAACTAAAGGTAACATTTTAAAAGAAGATAAAAATATTGGAAAATATGAGTAATTTCACTCCATTTCAAATATAAGCGAGAAAGTATAAGATATCTTCCATAAGAGCAGTTAACTGCTTATTAGAATGATAAGGCCCACTTATAGAGCGCTTATACTCGTCTGCTCGGCTTATCTTCTTCAGGAGATAACGTGTCAATCTCTGAGGAGTTAGTGATTTGTCATTCGGAAAGTACATAGTGGATGATAGTTGTGTTTCGGCTGACACGTAACGTCTGCAAGACGCTATCTTCTCCATATTGAGGTTATCTTGAGATGATTTCTGGACTCAGCGTCTCCGCGGCCCGGTCCTCAACCAGGCCTCCACTCCCAGGAAGCAGCCCGTAGCAGCTGCCTAACTCCCAGGTACCTGTTTACTGCTAGGTAACAGGGGCATCAGGGTGAAAGAAACATTTTGCCCATTTGTCTCCGCCTCTACCGAGGATCGAACCCGGAACCTCGGGACTAAGAATCCGAAGCTCTGTCCACCCAGCCTTCAGGCGCTGGAACAGAAGGCTTATAGAATGGTATATAATCTATAAGCCGTGTCGTTCTTGAGGTTATCTTGAGATGATTTCGGGGCTTTAGTGTCCCCGCGGCCCAGTCTTCGACCAGGCCTCCACCCCCAGGAAGCAGCCCGTGACAGCTGACTAACACCCAGGTACCTATTTTACTGCTAGGTAACAGGGGCATAGGGTGAAAGAAACTTTGCCCATTGTTTCTCGCCGGCGCCTGGGATCGAACCCAGGACCACAGGATCACAAGTCCAGCGTGCTGTCCGCTCGGCCGACCGGCTCCCTCCAGCTTGTGGGAGAGCTTGACTCAAATATTTAATTAAAGAATAGTGACTTCAATAGCTACGAAGGACCACCACTTTTTGTAAAAAAAAATAATGGAAAACTAAAAAGAGTAAATGTAATGAAAATTAACTCCACAAACTAGTGCCTGTGGATCTTAATAAAATAATAATGCAATGTGAAATCACAATATATATTATAGTTAACTAAGAGTCAAACTCGCAGGCGATGAGTCACAATAACGTGGCTAAAGTATGTTGACCAGACCACACACTAGAAGGTGAAGGGACGACGACGTTTCGGTCCGTCCTGGACCATTCTCAAGTCGAACTTGAGTCAAACAAGAGTCAAACTCGCTCTCACAACATGGCGGGTACAGACGCTAAGGAAATATTCCATTAATAGCGCTATCATCCGATGCTGATTCTTCATCAGAGTAGAACAAAAAATATAAATTTATACATAAAATATATATATATATATGGTATAATGATACAGGGTTAGTAAAATCAATTAATCTTGTATGGAAGATCAATCATCAACTAATGGTTATTAATAACTACAAAAATATGATAACAGCTTAGCTGTTTAGCTGGAAATTGTGTAGGCGTGTTCTTGTCACTGAGCTCTGGCTGAAATCACGATTAAATTGTAGATAATGCCTGAGCTAAAGTGAATATACCACTATTTCTGATTGAAAAGTGGGGACATAAGCGAGAAAAATACTAACATTGGTGGTGTTGTTATCTCGTGTCCTGACGACGAGAAGCCTACAAGTAATATGTATATGTGCACACTAAATAAAACATCAGTAGGAAATTGTCTACATTACACTGGCCGGGACGTGTGTTGGATATGGTCACTCTCGACCATGTTTATGTAATCAAAGATGAGGTCTGATAAAGACCTTTTGTGCCCTCTGTAATGCTTTTTGCGCTACCGCTCACAGGATGAGAATGGGGTACACAATAAACTAGCCACCTCCGGCGGCAGTAATCAAATCAAATGACTCTTGATCTCTGGCCCCTGCTGCTGCAAGGATGACGCAATTACCAGTCAATGGAAACGTGAGATCCTCAACACGGTAACTTTTCAGCAGTATGGCTGCTACACTCCTCCTCCCTCACACCTGGAGATGCGCGGGACTCCACTAGGAAGGGAACTATTAAGGGAAAAGCACCTGTTGTTTTTGATTCAGCTACTCAGAACAAAAGTTCAAAGTATCACGGACTACGGTGAGCCCGTAGTGGACTTACCTGGCACAGGAGCGAGGCTGTGTATGTGTGAGGAAAGCACCGAGCCATTACGACTATATAGCACTGGGAAGGGGTCAGGATAAGGATTTGGGATGGGACGAGGGGGGGAGGAAGGAATGATGCCCAACCACTTGGACGGTCGGGGATTGAACGCCGACCTGCATGACGCTCTACCGTCGCTCTACCGTCCAGCCCAAGTGGTTGGACGACTCCAGTAGGAATTCCCAGAGTAAATAATTTATCTATTTGAGGTTAATTAGGGAAGGAAGGGTTTATGAAGGATATTTACTTCATAAATAAATGTGTTATATTCAGGCGATGAGTCACAATAACGTGGCTGAAGTATGTTGACCAGACCACACACTAGAAGGTGAAGGGACGACGACGACGTTTCGGTCCGTCCTGGACTATTCTCAAGTCGATTGTGATCACAATCGACTTGAGAATGACGGACCGAAACGTCGTCGTCCCTTCACCTTCTAGTGTGTGGTCTGGTCAACTGTGTTATACTAAACTTTCTCGCAATGCAAGTCATCTTATTAAGACTAAATTCAACTAGAAGAGTTAGAGGAGAATTGTTTTACATTGCAACATTTTCTGCCAGTGTAGTTAATCTAGTCTAAATCAGCGAGTACCAGTAAGCAATAATATGCTAAATGAGTTAACACATTAATAAACACTTATCCTCAATAAACGGAAAGAAATAACTGGACTGTGAAATCCAACAGTATGTGGAAAATTTCCTGTTTCCGGCTGACGTTGCGTCACGACGTCACGGAGACTAGGAAGGATTTGACAGAATATTGGGCAGTATGAAAATATTATTATGGTTAATTTTACAAGTTAGTAATTTTAGTAACTACTTGTTATTAATGTGAGATGTTGCATTAAAATACAAAGTGATGAATGAAAAACTGTTGGTTATTTCCAACAAGCCATATATAGCACTGGGAAGGGGTCAGGATAAAGATTTGGGATGGGACGAGGGGGAGGGGAAGGAATGGTGCCCAACCACTTGGACGGTCGGGGATTGAACGCCGACCTACGTTCAATCAATCCCGCTGCCAATGTTACATATGTACCATATATGTGGAATGAACCAAACGTCGACTTAAGGGGTCTAACTGAATGCTCATTGCAGTCTTGTCAGATCTTGGTGCTGAAGATGACAGTAGATATATCCCTGGAAACACAAACCGTAACTGTCTTAATTTTCTGCTTGTTACAACTTGTAATAAAGTTGTTACATCTTGGCTTAACGTGTTTATGACGTATTAGAACGTTGTTACAACTTGCTATATTGGTTGTTATCACTGGTTAGGAGGTGTTACAACTTGTTCGAACGTTGTATCAACGTCGTAGTTTCGGTGTGTGTTTGGCGGGCGTCGACCTGCTCAGATAGCAAGGGGGGGGGGGGATAAAATAGACTTGCTATCGTGTTGGTCAATATTGGTGTGTTGGAACACTGTCGTGGTGGTGGGTGTCACTAAGGCACTGTTGTTCCTTGTGACTGGTGGAGCGTCTCACCTTAACTGTTGTTCCTTGTGACTGGTGGAGCGTCTCACCTTAACTGTTGTTCCTTGTGACTGGTGGAGCGTCTCACCTTAACTGTTGTTCCTTGTGACTGGTGGAGCGTCTCACCTTAACTGTTGTTCCTTGTGACTGGTGGAGCGTCTCACCTTAACTGTTGTTCCTTGTGACTGGTGGAGCGTCTCACCTTAACTGTTGTTCCTTGTGACTGGTGGAGCGTCTCACCTTAACTGTTGTTCCTTGTGACTGGTGGAGCGTCTCACCTTAACTGTTGTTCCTTGTGACTGGTGGAGCGTCTCACCTTAACTGTTGTTCCTTGTGACTGGTGGAGCGTCTCACCTTAAATGTTGTTCCTTGTGACTGGTGGAGCGTCTCACCTTAACTGTTGTTCCTTGTGACTGGTGGAGCGTCTCACCTTAAATGTTGTGTGTCGTGGAGGTGTAGACGCCACGGAGGAGACGGTCACAATGATACCGTCACCTGTCCTGCCCTGGCTCTCTATCTTTCCTCCTTACCTCTCCTCCCCCCCCCCATTACTCCCCCACTACCTCTCCCCTCTCCCTCATTCTCCCCCTAACACTCCTCTACCTTCCCCTTCCCCTTCATGATCTATAATCTCTCCATCCTGAAAGTGTAAAACCAATTATTCAATAATTTCAAAGATGAATTCGCTGTCAAAGTATTGCTGTGAAGTCTATAACATACTTCGGTGATATTGGCTGTAACTTCAACAGTTGCTGAACTCCCGGGTGCCTATTTACTACCTGGTGAACAGGTGCATTAGATGAAAAGGTGCCAAACTGTTTCCGTCCTGCTCGGGGATTGAACCCGGTTCGTTGGTATGAACCGAGGACGTAGACCACTGTGCTAATGTCCGTATTAATATTACCGAAGCATCCACTCCAGTATGTAAGGGGCAGGGTGCCTTTAACAAGCCGCTGGCTTCGTGTCCTCGTCGAGGTCACTGGAGAGAGAGAGAGATAGTGGCCCTCAGGTGAAGGTTAAGACATGCCTCTCTTCCCATTGGTTTGGTACTGGACTCGAGGGTACCAACCTCTGGAGGGTTATTAAGGCCACCACAACAGATTATTGACCATCCAGAAAGTATACTTTAGTCCTGAACTTTATCTTGAGATGATTTCGGGGCTTTTTAGTGTCCCCGCGGCCCGGTCCTCGACCAGGCCTCCACCCCCAGGAAGCAGCCCGTGACAGCTGACTAACACCCAGGTACCTATGTTACTGCTAGGTAACAGGGGCATAGGGTGAAAGAAACTCTGCCCAATGTTTCTCGCCGGCGCCTGGGATCGAACCCAGGATCACAAGTGCAGCGTGCTGTCCGACTGGCTCCCCACGTTGCTCCTTTAGTCCTGAACGTTGTCCAGGACTAAAGTATTTACCCTTAATGTTTATACATACATACGAAGAAGAGAGGGGTATATATACACCGTCGAGTATACAGGTATGCAGGTATACGTGTATCCTCAGCGAGGAGTGAACCTCAGCACTCGGTAAAGAGACGCTGCGGTTTAATTAGCTAAGTCCCTCCTCTCCTGAAGGTCTCGTTTTCCCTCGTACGCGCAAACATGGCGGACGTCAGGATGTATTTCTGTTTCGTAATGGTTGTTTGTTGTATGTGATTGTTTAGGGCAGCAGCCGCGTCTTGAGTGGCTCTTGAGTGAGTCCAACTAATCAGAAGACACGATAGTAATCTTGCCTCGCCTCTTGAAGATTGTTTCTGTGGATCTCTGAATATGCGTTGTAATTCTCAGATATAAAATGTGTCGGTCTTGTCTTCTGATCTGTCACCCTTCGTTCTTCTTCGTTCTAATTAACTACTGTTCTTATTTACCCATTGTTCTTCCATTTCTATATATTTACAACCACTCCATTCCTCATTATTATTATTATTATTGTGTTTTGCTGTGTGTGTGAGAGATATGTTGTGTATTCACCTAGTTGTGCTTGCGGGGGTTGAGCTCTGCTCTTTCGGCCCGCCTCTCAACTGTCAATCAATCAACTGTTACTGATTACTAACTAACTTTTTTCCACACACACTCACACACACACACACACACACACACACACACACACACACACACACACACACACACACACACACATGAAGATAGTGATGATGCAAAAATTATGAGGAGGATTGAAACAGAAGAAGATAGTATGAGGCTACAAGATGACCTAGACACACTGAGTGAATGGTCCAACAAATGGCTGCTAAAGTTCAACCCGAGTAATTGCAAGGTCATGAAACTAGGCGGTGGAAGCAAGAGGCCAGACACAGGATACCGAATGGGAAATGAAGTACTTCATTAAACAGATAGAAAGAAAGATCTAGGAGTTGATGTCACACCAAACCTGTCTCATGAAGCCCACATAAAAAGAATTACATCTGCGGCATATGCGAGGCTGGCTAACGTCAGAACAGACTTCAGGAACCTGTGTAAGGAATCATTCAGAACCTTGTATACCACATATATAAGACCAATCCGGGAGTATGCGGCCCCAGCATGGAACCCGTACCTTGTCAAGCACAGGACGAAGCTGGAAAAAGTTCAGAGATATGCCACTAGGCTAACCCCAGAACTAAGAGGCATGAGTTACGAGGAAAGGCTGCGGGAAATGCACCTCACGACACTGGAAGACAGAAGAGTAAGGGGAGACATGATCACTACCTACAAAATCATCAGAGGAATTGACAGGGTAGATAAGGATAAACTGTTTAACACGGGTGGTACACGAACAAGGGGACACAGGTGGAAACTGAGTACCCAAATGAGCCACAGGGACGTTAGAAAGAATTTTTTCAGTGTCAGAGTAGTTAACAGGTGGAATGCATTAGGCAGAGGCTGGAGGCTGACTCCATACACAGTTTTAAATGTATATGTGATAGAGCCCAGTAAGCTTAGGAACCTGTACACCAGTTGATTGACAGTTGAGAGGCGGGATCAAAGAGCCAAAGCTCAACCCTCGCAAGCACAAATAGGTGAGTACAAAGAGGTGAGTATACCCAGGAAGCAGCCCGTGGCAGCAATCTAACTCCCATATAATTATTTACTGCTAGGTAAAGGAGCATCAGGATGACAGAAACTGCCCATTTTGTTTCTCGCCGGCGCTGGGAATCGAACCCCGGTCCACAGGATTACGTGTCCAGTGTGCTGTCCACTCAGCCACCAGCGCCCGTGGAGAGAGTGTGTGTGAGAGACATGCTGCTGTCTGGCCGTACTCAAGTCTCCTCTGCTCTCATACTGAGCAGTTTGTGCTCATTGACATAAGATTCCTTGTGGGGTAAAGTCCAGGGGCCAGATTCACGAAGCAGTTACGTGAGCACTTACGAACGTGTACATCTTTCCTCAATCTTTGACGGCTTTAGTTACATTTATTAAACAGTTTACAAGCATGAAAACTTGCCAATCAACTGTTGTTATTCCTATAAACAGCCTCTTGGTGCTTCGCAGCTCATTAACTGTTTAATAATTGTAAACAAAACTGCCAAAGATTGAGAAAAGATGTATAGGTTCGTAAGAACTTGCGTAACTGCTTCGTGAATCTGGCCCCAGATTAAGTGTTCAGTGGCAACATCCCTTCAAGCGCAGGTTTTCCCTAAACTTCAAGTGATTTTGTCACTTGATTTTGTCCCTTATCTTGCTTATCTTTGCTGTTTTTCTGTTGTTTTTCCTGAGAGTAATATTTTTTTTATTTGTTGTAAATAACTGCAAGATAATGTTACGTGGGAAGTCTATGTAGTAATTGGTATAAATGGCATGTATCGTTCTTGTCATCCAGTGCCGGTCACCCCTAACTTATATTTGTATCATTGTTGCGTTAATCTTTTCTTAGATGTTAATTTAACAAAGGGTCTTTGTTAGGGTCAAGGGCCGCGGGGACGCTAAGCCTCGAAACCATCTTAAGGTAACCTCAAGGCTGAAGTAAACTCACAGTGTACATACACCTGAAGTACATACACCGAGCTGTGCGGTTTACACCCCTCGGACATAAAACAGGAGACATTTTCACCCATAGGGTGATAAACCTATGGAACCGCCTACCCGCCGAAGCCCAAAGCACCGAGTCATTGCTTTATTAATCCAGCTGGAAAAATCTTTAGAAACAATGGGAGGTGCCCAATTGAAAAGTCGCCGGCTTCCTGTTCCCCGTGGAAGCCACTAGAGATAAAGTAACTTTCAGGTAAATATATGACGGGGTGCTATTCACCATCCAGCACTTGGCACTCCTCACACTAAGGTGGTTATCGCCTGTTCCTTGTTTACCCGTGTTTTCTCTTCTCATATTCCTTTTGCATTTCTCTGTAGCGAGTATATTATGTCAACAATATACTCGCTCCAAGCTCTCATTAGCTTAAGGAGATAAGTGTACTTAATCCATTAAATCTTTTCCCTAATTATAGGTAACATTGTACCCTAATTATAGGTAACATTATAGGTAACGTCGTCCCTTCAATTTCTAGTGTGTGGTCTGGTCAACATATAGGTAACATTCTTTCCATCCTATTGGAGGAAGCTGAGGTGTAGTCCAGTAATATAAGCAGTCAATAAGCAAGTAAGAATCCATGGGAGACATCTCCCTCACGCAGGGTGCAGTCGTACCTCCACAGATCTCCAGTATCAGCTCTTGATACTGGAAATGGCTCAAAAGGGCCACCACTTACGGGCTATTCATGCCCGTGCCACCTTTTGGGTGGCTTAATCTTCATCATCATCATCAAGTAAGAATCGGTGTAATTTCCACAGTAATTCAATTAACTTCAGTGCAGACGCTCGGGAGTTACCACACCTCTTCAACCTCCAGAATGTAGCACTCGGCATGTACAGTTCCAACCGACCCCAAGATACTACAGCTTCAACACAGAGCAGACAGCAGACTACGACCGCATCGAGTTTAGACACTCACGATTCCCCATCGAGCCGCCATGCTGGCACGCATCGAGCTCTGCTACTCCGGCCTCACTCAGCTCTCTTCTCTGCTCCAAGCTCCGTCTCAACGTCTACGACACTGCTTTATCCAAGACAATCGTATCCTGGCCGAGGAGGATTTACTGGGCGCAAATTACTCAACACACAGCTGCTATTAGAACAATATCAAACTCTAGCCCCAGGCAGCACTCGGTACCCTTACTTAAATCTTTGAATATGGTAGATATTAAGTCACTGCACATCCTCATAAGTGTACTTAAGTGTATATTTACACTTAAGTGTACGTATTTACACTAAGTGTTAAGTGTACAATATATTTAAAACTCTGAACTATAATGCCAATCCTACCTTCAACGCTTCCTAGAAGGTTGTAACAGAACCCATGGGCACCACACCAGAAACAAATACCTATTTGATATTCCAAGAGTGCATCTTAACCAAACTAAAAATGCTTTACAAATCAAGGGACCTAGAATGTGGAATGACCTTCCCAATCATGTCAAAGGCTGTACCTCTCTCAGCCAGTTTAAGAGAAAAACTAAGTTCTACCTAATTAACGCCATGTAACCTACCTTACCCCCTAAATGTCAACCCATTACATACAGAAATCACAATAGCGTGATGCATCAAATGAAGAAATAATTAAGGCGCATCTGGGATCCTCTCGGACGTAGATTCGAACCCTCATCACGGTCTTTGTGGATTTGTCAACCCATGTCTTGCTATTTTCAAACAATACTGTTTGTTGATCAACTTGTATAATTGCTGATTTCTGCCATGTCCCCCCTCCACCCACTTTCTTTTTTATTCCTTTCTCAACACAATTTATACTTTAATCTCAAATACTATAAAGTTTTAGTCCAAGTGGGGTTTTTTTTACCCACACCTTGTCCGAAACACTGTGCGAATTGGTGGATTTGGGTACTCTTATGTACTAGCTCTATCTATAAATCCAACATTATGTTTATAACTCATCTTCTATGTACGTACTTTTACTTAAATAAAAATTTTAATTTATAATGCTTGTTCACGAGCGGAAGAGATATAATGCTCTAACTTGTAGGAAGGTTTTTGGGTTAAATGAACAGATATGAAAGCAGAAACTTGTTTATTCTATATAAACAATATATAAAATCTTGACGAAAAGGCAGTAAAATATTTAGGCCTGAAGATCTGGTACGAAAGGATTTATATATTATAGCATACAAATCCCCCGCAAGCACAACTAGGTGAGTACACCCACCCACCCACCCACACACACACACACACACACACCTTGTGTGCGTGTGTGTGTGTGTGTGTGTGTGTGTGTGTGCACGCACAAGGGAACGGAACCTCCCTTCACCCTCCCTGGAACGCCGACGTAGAGACAGTGACGTCTCAGCGGCGGCGCTTGGCGTAGGAGACATCGGCGACGAAGCCGTCCTCGCCGTTGACGGAGTACAGCACCGTCTGCACCCGTCCGTCGGGGAGGAGGACGTAGTAGCGACCGCTGGTGGAGGCGTGGTCGCGCGCCTCCTCGTGGCCGAAGTCGTTGCCGCTCTCAGCGTCCACGACGCCGTACTGGTAGCTGTAGACGGGCGGCGCCTGTACCACCAGCCGCAGACATTATACTCTCACCATTATCCCCCCGAGTTATTGTCATAGAATATCAGGCGAGGAGTCAGAGCAGGGAATTATTATTATGAATTATCAGCAGAGAATTGGTAATGATTATCGCGAGGGGATTATTGGGAATTATCTGGAGGGAATTATAGTATATATATACTTACATCTGGGTGTGTCTGGATGCGGGAGTCAGCTGGTCTGGCGTGGGTTGCCCCCACCACCATCACCACCACCACCACCATCACCAGCATCACCATAACCTGAGGCAGAAACAACTTCATCACTACAGACGTTCTGTGTTTGATTGATGAAGATTAAGCCACCCAAAAGGTGGCACGGGCATGAATAGCTCGTAAGTGGTGGCCCTTTGGAGCCATTACCAGTATCATTAGCTGATACTGGAGATCTGTGGAGGTGCGACTGCACCCTACGTGACAGATGTCTCCCGGACCAAATGGTGACCAAATGGTCCGTTCTGTATTTGTCTTCGTGCTCTAAATATATAGGCAAGACAATATATTTTTCAAGATGTCTGATAAAGCACGAATAAGTGTTAAAATAAGATTCGTGTTCTATATGAATATAATTGTCTTGCTGACGCTGACCCACGCAGTACAGCGGAAGAAAATGGGAAGCAATGTAAAACACTAGAAGAATGAAGGGAGATGAACAAGGCAAAGTAGGAAGATGAGAAATTAAGAGACTGGATAATAAACAGGACGATGGTAAACATGAGAATGTCGTTTAGAAACTTAAATCACGACTCTTTCGAGACAATCTACACAACGTTTGTTAGACCAGTACTGGAATATGCAGCACCGGCCTGGAATCCATTCCATATGAAGCATGAAACTAAGATAAAAAAAAGTTTAGATGTTTGCAATTAGATTAGTATCAGAAATAAGAGGGTTAAGCTATGAAGATAGGCTGAAGGAACTGAACCTTACAACCTTGGAGGACAGACGAAACAGAGGAGATATGACCATGACATACGAGATACTGAGGGGTATAGGCAAGCTGAACAAGGTCAGCCTCTCTAAGTTTAGAGAGCGTCGAACAAAAGACTTACGGGCTATTCATGCCCGTGCCACCTCTTGGGTGGCTAATCTTTATCAATCATCAATCAACAAAAGACCAAACGTGGAAGCTGGAAACACAAATGAGTCGAAGAAATGTGAGGAAATACTCGTACCCTGTACGGGAGGTCAACAAGCAGAATGCACAGAGAGAATAAGTTGTGGAAGCCACCTCCATCCATAACATTAAGGACAGATTCGACAAAGATTTTGAACGTAACTGTAATGGGTACACGAAGGCTAGTAGGCGGGGCATAAGCAGCTAGACCTCACTCACCTGTAGTCACTGATAGGTAAGCGCCACACAACCACCACCTCACGTCGCTAGAAGACAGAAGAGTTAGGGGAGACATGATCACCACCTACAAGACTTTCATAGGAATTGATAGAGTAGATAAAGACAATTTATTTAACACAGGAGGATACATGCACATTAGGGAACACAGGTGAAAACTGACTACCCAGATGAGCTATAGAGATATTAGAAAGAATTTTTTTATTGTCAGAGTAGTTAACAGATGAAATGCACTAGGAAGTAATGTGGTGGAGGCTGACTCCATACACAGTTTCAAATGTAGATATGATAGAGCCCAGTAGGCTCAGGAATATGTACACCTGTTGATTGACAGTTGAGACGAGGGACCAAAGAGCCGAAGCTCAACCCATTACTAGGTGCAAGCATGCACAACTAGGTGAATACAGCCAGTACGGACCCATTACCTTCATGGTGACAACGTGAGGAGTCCTCAGAGCCAACTAACATCCCCAGGACCTGGCACCAGTTTATATCCTCGTTACTAGCGTGAGGGAAAGTCCTTTCCCCTCCCCCCCCCCATGTTTACCCTTATTCCCCTCACTCCCCCCTTTCTAACCACCCGTGACATCCCCCTCTTTTCATCTACAGTCCCCCCCCCCGCAACGCCCCTCTAAACCCCCTCCCCCCACACCACAGACTACGTCAGTCACGACTGGCGGGACGACCCATTAAAAACATCAAGGACAAAGTTCAGTCTTCATTTTGCGGTGATTTGTTCAGAATGAAAGAAAATAATAAAACATCGACTGTACGTCGAACGAGAGAGAGAGAGAGAGAGAGAGAGAGAGAGAGAGAGAGAGAGAGAGTCATACACCGTACATATTTGTATGCCACACACACACACTATATATTTTGTTTCAACCTGCTTTAGCGAATCTTTTCCATTATGCCTGTCTGCCTCTGTATAGCTTGTGCACGCCGGTGTGGGTGTGCACGCCGGTGTGTGTGTGCACGCTAGCGTTCCCTTCCAGCTGTGTGTGTGTGTGTATGTGTGTGTGTGTGTCTACTCACCTATTTGCGCTTGCAGGATGAGCATTGACTCTTGGATCCCGCCTTTCTAGCCATCGGTTGTTTACAGCAATGACTCCTGTCCCATTTCCCTATCATACTTGGTTTTAAAATTATGAATAGTATTTGCTTCCACAACCTGCTCCTTAAGTGCATTCCATTTTTCCACTACTCTCACGCTAAATGAAAACTTCCTAACATCTCTGTGACTCATCTGAGTTTCAAGCTTCTACCCATGTCCCCTCGTTCTGTTACTATTCCGTGTGAACATTTCATCTATTTCCACTTTGTCAAATCCCTCTGAGTATTTTATACGTTCCTATTATATTCCCCCCTCTCCCTTCTTTTTTTCTTGTGGTCGTAAGGTTCAGTTCCTTCAGGCGTTCTTCATATCCCATCCTCGTAACTCTGGGACGAGCCTCGTCGCAAACTTCTGAAACTTTTCCAGTTTCCTTATGTGTTTCTTCAGGGGG